AAAAAAATTTAAAATATAAAAGAAATATTTACTATATACTAAAATTTAAAATATAATAATAAAATTAAATATTTAATTCAATAGGAAAATTATAAATTTATTTATAATATTTAAAAATTTATTAAAAGCTTTAATTTTTAAATATTAATAAAAAAGTTTTATTAAAAACTTAAATTATATTACTAAAAACTATATTTTAATTAATTATATTAACTTTATTAAAAGCTTATATAATAATAATTACTTTAAATTTAGCCTTTTAAACTTTATTAAGCTTATTTAAGTTCTTTAAGTTATAATTAATTATTTTTATACTTTATAATATTAAAGATTTTCGTTAAATATAAATATAAAACAATTTAAATAAAACTTTAAAAACTTTATATTAAAATTTAATTAGCCTTTATAACTTTTTTTTTTTTAATATATAATTATTTATTTTTAAAAAAAATATAATTTACTATAATAAAAAATTAATAAAAAAAATACTTATTAAAAAATAATATTTATATATAATTATAAAATCTTTACTTTTATTATAAAAATAATTATAATATATATACTTTTTATATTTAAAATACTATTTATTATTTTATATTAATTACCTATTTTATATTTTTTATAAAAAAAAAAACTATAATTAAAAAACTTAGTTTTTTAATAATATTTACTAAAGTAAAATATTTATAAGTTTTTTATAATATAAATTTAAAAATATAATTTAATATAATATTAATATAAAAGTATAAAATAAATAAAAAAAAATTATAAATTAAAAAAATTAAATTAATAGTTATTTTATATAATTAATCTTAAGGATAAAGTTAATAAAAAAGAATATTATATTATAACCTAACTTTTTTTAAAATTAAAAAAATATATATTTTAAAATAAATTTTAAATTAATTAATTAATTATAAAAAGATTATTTATATATAATACCTTTAATAAATTATTAATTATAATTTATTATAATTTAAAAATACTATAATTTATATATAATTTAAAAAAAATAATTAAATATATAAATTTACTTTATTATATTTATTTAAATAGTTTAAATAGCTAATTGTTAATAAAATATTAAAACTAAATATAAATTTAACCTTTTATTTTACTTTTATGCATTTATAATTATAACTGCTTAAAAACTACTTTCTGTTTTTTCTGTTAATATAAACCTACGACCTAGGCTTATTACTTTAGGAACCTTTACCCTATATTAGGAATAGGGATTAAGACATTATACTAAAGGTAAAGTTTAGGTCTTTAATATAATAGAGTTTAAGGCTTATATAAGAGGTGTTGGTATATTTTATAATACTTATAATATAGGAGATTAGTGTAAGTTAATTAAGTAATTAAAAGTTGTTTTTTTTTTAAAAATCTAAAAGATTAGGTAGATATGGATTTACATTAAGTTTATAAGAAAACTCAGTCCTTTTCCTTTTTATAAACTCACTAATAGAAATATTTATTTAGTAAAAATATTTTATAGGTTTTATAACCTTAATTAAAATATTATTATATATTTATAATTAATTATATTACTTTTACATTATTATATTAATAATATAAGTATATATATTATTATATATTATAATTATATTATATATAGTTTATATAATATAATAAAGATTCTGCTAATATAATATATAATATAACCTTCTAAAATCTAATTATACATGGTAATATTACACTATTGGACACACTGCGACTTCGTCCTGCCTTCCCGCCACAGACTCGTCGATGCTTGTTGCCTTGCGACGATTGCGACGCAAGTGACTCTAGTTCGTCAAGCTCGAATTGAGAGCGGTCACGGCGAAGACTTGCGTTCGTTCGGCGCGTTCCTCGGCTGGCATTTTCACTTGGCCGTTGGTTCATGCCACAGCCCCTGGCAGAAAACCTGCCTCGACTTCGCTGTGCAGGCTCAGCTTCTGCATCATCGTCATCCGTATCGTCGGCATCACTTCCCGGCTTGGAGGTGTAATCCGCGATCTTGAGGTATCGCGGGACCTTGAGCTTCTTGTCGGCCTTCAGGCGCGGCCTGCCTCGTGCGTTGATGACAACAGCCGGGTCGCGAATATCAAGTAGCTTATCGTCAGTGTTCTAGTAGGCTGTCAATACTAAAATCTTGTGACGGTGTCAAGCTGGCGTACCAACGGCTTTTGGAGCTACCAACGCATAGAAATCTGGCTCCGTCGCAGAGGCGTGCCGTTCATCAGACAATCAAAGATACGGTGGCTGCAAGGCAGGCCGTATTGGTGCTCGAAGTTGCCCGTGCAATGGTGTAGCGGTTTGGGCTCGCGCTGATCAGGCAGGGCGGCGAGGGCAAAGCGATGCTGCTTGGCAATAAGGTCAATGGCCGGATATGTGATCTGCAGGTTGAGCTTGCCAAGCCATTCCTGCCTGAGGTATTGATCACGCTGACGCTGAATCTGTCTCGCAGCCTCTTGAAGATAGGATCGAGACTTGTTATCAATTATCGTGACAAGGGCTTGGTGGAGGTAAAGGAGGTCTCCCGTGCCTGTCACCAGGTGAGACTTGGCGTCTGCATGGGCGGTCTCGGTAGGGCTATTGACCCTTTGACCGAGGTTCCGATAGCGGTCAATGTAACACTTCACCCACTGCTTGCGCCACGGCATATATTCCTTTTGGATATATCGCAGGATGTGCCCTTGCTGCCCGAGTCCCTTGAACGTATGGTGATCAGCGGCATAGACCACGGCTTGGAAGGCTGTGAACTTGCCCTCACGGTTGTAGTCATCAGAGGGAGTCGCGTGCCCGTCCTCTGCCTCGTCTTGTACACGGCCCCGGGCGGCGAGATCAAGATCTAGCTCTGGTTGGAGCTGGTCGGCATTCTTGTCTTTTGGATCAACGGAAAGGGCGTTTCCATCATTATCAGAATCAACACTAATGGCGTCGTAATCTCGCCGCCAGTGTCCTTCCAGCGGGCGTTAATTTTAGCTCGGACGTTGGCCAAAATGTGATATACGCATAGTTGCTGCTGGGCATCTGGAAAGGTCTTCGTGAGGACTGCGCGGAGAGCCTGTTCCTTGTCTGTGATGATGATCTCTGGCGTGTCTGCCCCAATGTCTATGCGAAGCTCGTCAAGTCGGTCACATAGCCACTGAAAGTGGTGCTCCTTTTCGCCGTTTATAAGGCCGAAGGCGAAGTTGGCCAGGGACTTCTGATCTGTCACGCCGGTGGCTTGGAATAGGTGTAACGCAGTTGGTTTTGTAGGTGTTATCCAAACCAAGCACCTCTGAAAACTTCTTCCACATCGTGCGGCACCAGTCATAAGTCCAAAAGACGGCGCAGACGCGGTCAAGTGCGTCGCGCAAGGTTCTGACTCTTATACCTCCGCTCTTAAGCTCCTTGACGAGGGCTTGAGTAGCTGTAAGGCCGTTAAGTCGCTTGCGTTTGATGGTTTGGCGATTATTGTAGATATCTCTTGTGCGAAAATAATGATAGCCTAAGTTGTCGGATTTTCTAATAATGCTAGTTATCTCGCGGGCCCTAATACCATTCTCGCTGGCTAGCTCTCGCTCTTTTTGTTGCTGAGTAACTGTGCGGCGGCGATAGATATTATGCGCTGATGGATTAAGGGACTGTCCGTGGTTATGCTGGCCTTAAACTACCGTGTACGTCCACTTCTAGTTCGACGACTTGGTGGCCTTGGCCGTGATACTGACGGGATAATTAAGCTTCTGTAATGACGGCTTCCTGAGACCGGAGCTTTGCGACGTCCGTCGCGGGCTGCGGTCGTATTTGAAGACGATGTAGCTTGGTTGCATACTGCCCCCGATATCCCGTCTTGAGGAGCTGGATCCTTTCACTATTGCGGCACCATTGGAAAGATGGAAGTTGCGGAGGAAGGCAAAGAGGTTATTGTATGTGTCAAAGAGTGGCGAAGGCGGCAGTTGTGGTATTGTAGCCCCAGTGTAATCATCGTCTGTTGGGTCGTTGGCGGCAGTAGCTGTGGTGGCTGTATTAGTACGACCTGGCGAGGGACTTTGGAAGTTGAGAAGGCGGTATATGTCCATCTTGACAGGCGTGACGAAAACTATGTATTAGTGAACGTTATGATTGTGTGGTGGGGTCGACGGCTTCTATTTATGCAAGGCGAGAGATGGACGGTCCTTGATTTGGCTGTTTACGTTTTTGCTTATGCGGCTGCACTGGAATTGACTGTCGCAGGCTGATCGCACGGGATTGGGCTATGGTGACCAGGGTGGTGTAAGTGAGTCAAAAATGAGACACTTATCTGTACAAATAGAGATTTTTATCTGTGCAAATAGTAATACTCTTGATTTAATTTGATTTGCCAAAATCCCGATTTAGGTTGAATATATTTGAAAACGATTCATTTGTTTGCAAGCCTGGTTGTCAATGTACTCGCTTGACCCGTTACAGGCTAAATGTTTCACATAGCTTGAACCACTGGGCTTGGCTTCAAGCTGCAGCCCGAAGACTTCCGGACAAACTAGAAATTTTATCTTAGGGTTCCGCCCCCATTGAGTCGTCCAGAATAGCCCTCTAGATGCCCACTCGCAACCTCGACGCTGTTCGCCCGGTCTTGGTTCATGTAGATGATAGAAAGAGCTAATAGAAAGAGCTGCCAGCAATTTGATCGGCAAAACACTCTAGCCGGTTTGTGTGTAAGGCTGAAAATAATAGTTCTGGTTGTCTCCATTATATGACCAATTCCATTCACCACCCTGACCGTTTTTTTGAATACAATTTCCAATGATATCGTTGAAGGCATCCTACGAAGTTTGTCAACATCAATTTTACTAGAAGGATATTTCGATTAATATTTCTTGCTTACCCAACAATGAGATCGAGAACCGGAACTGCCTTGGAATTCAACGTGGATCATGTGTTGAGCCCATCCAACCCCGGAGTAAACTTTGCCGCCGCAAGGAAAGTTTCCCGAGACCCCACCATTGCAGATTGAGGCAGCAAACCCTTGAAGATTGCTAATGGAGCACTCGCCATTGTACCTGTCACCGTTTTGATAACACGTTGCAGCATTTGCCAGGGAAGCAAGGAGAGAAACTGCTACTCCCGCGAGGATGTTCAATTGGACCATTTTGAAGAGGTAGCGTTTCGCGGTGAAGTCCTGAAGATGAAGAACTTTAAACTGAGAAACCAAGTAAGTGTAATAGGCTTATTATATGTATGTCGATATTCTGGCATAGCATAACATCGCATACATTTGATCCTGGTCTGAAAAGGAAGGCCCAAACTCGCATCGGATGGCCGTGTGAGACTTTGGTTCACTTTTATGGGCCAGGTTAATTGCTGACTCTGCTTGGCAACGCACATGTGACGACGAGTTTGGCTCACACTAGTCATTTGTTCGTTTCCCGCTATTAGCCAGTTATACACACCACATCCCGGAAAAAGTGCGAGCGAAATAATTACTACAAGCTGTTGGGCCAAAATATTCACAGTGGGGCAGGCCACTCTTAACCCTTGTCACAACTTCAATCAAGTACCTACTCAATCCGTGTCTACCATAACGCACATCAAGTCAGCCATCATGACTTCAGGATGGGGCAAGCCATTGCTTTTTATCATGCCGTGTCGCGGCATGGTATCATCAACGATCCCTGGTCTCAAGATTGTATAAGGCATGTTACTTGTTACAGCTTCGCCAAGGCGGCGAAGCTGCTTATAAGATAAATACCGCGTTCATATCCATCTTTCATTTGTTCTTCAGATAATTCTCATTCAATTCAAATGCCACCTTCGGTGAAGACATTCTCGATCTTATGTGATCCGACATTTATGTTACATAGGTAGTGTCTAAAGCACACATGTATCCAAGTCGATGGGCTTGTGTAGCGTTGCCCTGGTATAAATTTCGACACGTTGATATTCTGCGAAAGACTCGGGAGATGTTCAATACCGCGTCACCTGTTTTCCCTCTTTCGTTTCATCTGTTTGATATTATGCTTTATTAAAGAGCTCCCTAGCGATTTCTATAAGCTACAGCCAAGTGCAAGTCTCACGGCACGAAGGGTTTAGAGCGAGTATTAAGCAAGGTTTCCCATTCATCGCTTGACCAACTCTGATGGATCAGACACCGGTAGGGGTAGAATGGCGTCAGGAGGTTCAAGGAAGAGCTCTATCACATATCAGGTCCGCAGATATACTATTGTACTGTATACCGTCAGTGCCGGGCTCGAAACACTTCTCCTTATCGCCCAAACTGGCGCAGTGAGTTCGGCAACTCCTGGAATTCCACAATGCGATGCCATAACCGGAACATTGAGTCATGGGGTCGCCATTGCGTATGACGGTGGCGCCTCCGAGAGTTTTCCTGCAGAGATCCCTAGCGCTGTATCCTGTGCCTGTTCCATACCCGTTGTCAGTGTGTCCGGTGTTCCTGTTCCTTGCCGCCAGCCAGTATGATGGTGTGTCGTGCTCTGCATTGGAGTAATCCTGCTCTTGGACACCGAGACAGTACCAAGGCTGGACCAGCGGGGGCAAAGTTGAAGCCGGCGGGTCGGGATCATTGGGGAAGGTTGTGGGTGCCGGGAGCCAGATGGGATCCGGAATACAAGGACAGCCGTAGAAGTTGCCCTTGCAGACTATGTTTCCTGAAGAATCGAAGCCGCCATTGCAACCGTTGATGGAACAGCTCTTTTGGTGCCGCAGGTGGACTAGAGGGAAACGGGTCAGGTCAGCCACTCACTGTCCGTCCGTGATGATGAGTTGATGATGAAGTTTAGACTACGACTTACCGGTACGGGCTTGCACACACAGCCCGTAAAGTTTCCTCGGCACCGTGCCGTGTTCGAATTACTGTCAAAGGAGCCCTTGCAGCCGTTGAGGTCGCAGTTCTGTGCAGTTCCGCAGGTGTTCTATAGACACGGGGAAGGAGCCAGTCAGCTTAGGTATCCATCGCATCATGTGTGGCCAAGCGTGCATGCATGCATGACCTTAAAATTCTTGCCCAGGCCACGATGCAAAACATCAACATCAAAACTCACCGATGTGGGATTGCATGCGCATCCCTGGAATTTGCCCTGACACCTAGCCACGCCACTGGAGTCGTAACCACCGGCGCACCCGTTGAGATCGCAGCTCTGCTTCGCGCCGCAGGTATTGGATGTTGCTACACACTGGCAGCCCTGGAAGAAGTCGGTGCATACTGGCGTTGGTGTGTTGCCCTGGAAGGCACCAGCGCAGTTGTTCTTATCGCAGCTCTGCGGTTGACCGCAGGTTCCAGGATTTGACTGGCATTCACAGCCGATAAAGTTCTGCGAGCAATACGCCTTGCCGTTATCGAGATTAAAGACGCCGCCACAGCCGTTAAGGCCGCAACTCTGCTTGGCGCCACAGGTGTTCGATGTTGCGGTATAATGGCATCCCTTAAAGAAATTGGTGCACTGAGGGTAAGTCTGGCTTCCCTGGAAGGCGCCGGCATAGTTATTCAGGTCACAGCTCTGTCTTGGGCCGCATGTCGTCGATGTGGCGGCACACTTACACCTAAGGAAGTTATGGCTGTAATACGCTTTACCATTTAACAGACTGAAAAGGCCAGCACAGCCATTAAGGTCGCAGCTTTAGGGCGATCTGTATATATTGCTTATTGAATTACATTAACAGCTAATAAAGTTCTTAGTACACTAAGCATAAGGCATAGAATCTTAAAAGCTGCCAGCACAACCGTTAAGATCGCAACTTTAAGGAGAGCCGTAAATATTATCCGTTGCTAAGCATTTACATCCAACAAAGTTACCGGTGTATTAAGCGTATAGCTTAAAACCACTAAAAGCACCTGCACAGCCATTAAAGTTATAACTTTAATAACTCCCGCAAGTATTAGACCTTGCAGCGTATTTACAACCCATAAAGTTACTTATACACTGGGTATACTTTATAATACTATTAAAGGCACCAGCACAGCCGTTAAGATCGCAGCTCTGTTAAGCTCTATATATATTATCTATTATAGTACACTTACAGCCTATAAAGTTACTTATATATTAAGGATAATTTAAGAGGCTATTAAAAGCGCCAGCACAACCGTTAAGATTATAACTTTAATAAGGTCTATAGGTATTAGCTATTGCTATACACTTATAACCCTTAAAATTACCTATACACTAAGCATACTTTATAAGACCGTTAAATGTCACGACCTAGCTCTTATAGTTGCAACAATAGGCCTATAGGGTAGGACCCCTTAGATAAAAGTCAGCCCGCCTAACTAATTAAGAGCAGATGATTAAATTATTAAAATAATTTAATAATTCTATAATAAATTATTTAAAAAGTATAATAATTTAGCATAGGATTATTTAAAAATAAAAATAATTTAACTTAGCCAACTGGGTATATAAGCTTACGTTTTTACATTTATTTAAATAGCTTAAATAATTAATTATTAATATAGTAATTAAATTAAATTTAGCTATTATATTTATTAATTATATAATATTAATAAAACTATATTTATATTTAACCCAACTGCCTATTAATATAAACTTAAAACCTAAAGGTTTATTTTTTAAAAACAGTTAACTTATATTAATATATAAAATTTAGTTTATTATATATTAATAACTTTTATTTAAACAGTTACTTTAGATCTATAGGTAATAAAAAATAATATTAATTAATTAAATTTTAAATCCTAGATGTTAAAATAAATTAAAAAAATAAAACTTAAAGTAATTACTTAAATAATAATATTAAAATTAAAAATAATTTTAAAAAAAATAATAAAATAATAATTAATAAAGAAACCTTAATATTAAATTAAATAATAATTATAATTAAATTACTTTAGGGAGAAATTAATACTTCTAAAACTAAAAAATAAAAAAAAAATATAACTTTATAATTAAAAAAACTTAACTTATATAATAAAGACCTTTAGAAAATAAATAAATATTTTATAAAACTTAATATTTATTTTAAATATTTTTTATATATTTTAAAAAAAGATAAAAATAAAACTATTTTTATTATTATTTATTTAATTAGAACGGCTAAAAAATAAATATAATTTATTATAAAAGATTTTAAAGTAAATACTTTAGATAAATAAAAGCTATAAACTTAAGAAGTTTTTAAAATATATAAAGATTTTTATAATTAATTAAAGAAATTTTTTAAAATTATTAATAAAAAGTAAAAAATTAAAAAACTTTTTTAAAATATATATTAAAAAAGACTTTTTTTAAAAAATACTACTGTTTTTATTTAACTATTAATAAAAATTAATTAAATTAAAAAAAGTAAAAAAAATATTTATTACTATATAATAAAACCTAAGGTTAAAAATAAACTATATAAAATTAACTATAAAAAAATAAATTTCTTTAATTATATATAATAAACTATTATTATAAATAATTATATTTAAAAATATAAATAAAAAAAAAAAAAAATTAAAAAACTTTTATATATAATATAATAATATAAATTAAAATAAAAAATAAAATTTTATATCTTTTAATAATAAATAACTAAAGCTAATAAACTTAAATATTA